GCCACTGCACTCCAGTCTGGGCAACAGAGTGAGACTCCAACTCAAAAAAAAAAAGAATGAGAAAAGAACAAAAGGCAATAGAAAATAAGACAGGCTTAAGAAGACAACACTCAGCTGGGTGTGGTGGCTCACACCTGCAATCCCAGCATTTTGGGAGGCAGGAAGCAAGAGAATTGCCTGAGCCCATGGGTTTAAGACCGACCTGGGCAACATGGCGAGACCTCGTCTCTACAATAAGTCAAAAAATTAGCTGGGCATGGTGGCATGCGCCTGTAGTCTCAGTTACTTGGAAGGATGAGGGGGAAGGATTGCCTGAACCCAGCAGGTGAGGTTGCAGTGACTGTGAGCATGCCACTGCACTGCAGCCTGGGTGTCAGAGACTCTAACTAAAAAAAAAGAAGACAACACTCACCAACACTACCCCTGCTCGTGGTATAATACTACTTGAATTGTCACCTGATAAAAGGGATATAATTTTTTGTGTGTTTGAAAAAAGGTAAAGAAGCCTTTCGAGCAAAATTTGCCAAGAGGGCTCAAACTCAATAGCTACCACACATATATATATATATATATTTTTGAGTTGGAGTCTCACTCTATTGCCCAGGCTGGAGTGCAGTGGCGTGTACACAGCCACCCCAGCATCAACCTGCTGGGCTCAGGAATCCTTCCTCCTCTACTTCCCAAAGTGCTGGGTTTATAGGCATGAGCTATCACCCCCCACAGCTACTGCACATTGTAAAAGATGGACTAGATAAAGTTCTCCACCTTGGTGTACAGAAGAAGTCCAGTAACCTGGACATTGTTTTTTACATTTTAAACCTTTGGAAAGTTTTTAAATTAAACTTTTTATTTTGGCCAGGCACTGTGGCTCACCACACTTTTTATCCCAGCACTTTGAGAGACCAAATTGAGAGGACTGCTTGAGCCCAGAAGTTCAAGACAAATCTGGGCAACATAATGAGACCTTGTCCTCACAAAAATAAAACAAATTAGCTGGGCATGGTGGTGTGCACCTGTAGTCCCAGCTACTTGGGAAGCTGAGGTGGAAGGATTGCCTGAGTTCAGGAAGCTGAGGCTGCAGTAGGCCATGATCGTGCCACTGTCTTCCAGCCTGGGTTACAGAGCGAGACACCAATTAAAAAAAAACAAAAATAAATTTAAAAAAATAAACTTTTAATTTTGAGATAGTTGTAGATTCACATATAATTCACACATTGTAACGATGCATAGAGATCCAGCATACTCTTTGCCCAGTTTCCCCCAAAGGTAACATCTTGCAAAAGTGTAGCAGAATATCACAACCAGAATATCTTGATATTGATACAGTTGAGATGCAGAACAGTCTTTGGAAATTTTATCACTATAATGACCATTACCACATTCCCATAAAGTAGAAACATTTCTTTGAATTTCAAAACTAGTCAAGCACAGTGACTCAGGTCTGTAATCCCAGTGTTTTGAAAGGCCAAGAAGGAAGGATACTTGATGTTTGGAGTTCGAGGCTACAATGAGTTATGATTGTGCCACTGCACTCCAGCCAGGGAGACAGAACAATACTTTGTCTCTAAAATAAATAGGACCAGGCTCGGTGGCTCAGCCTGTAATCCTGTGCTTTGGGAGACTGAGGTGAGTGGATTGCCTGAGCCCAAGGGTTCGAGACCCGCCTGGGCAACTTGGTGAGACCTCATCTCTACAATAAATCAAAAAAATTAGCTGGGTGTGGTAGCACGTGCCTGTAGTTTCAGCTACTTCGAAGGCTGAGGCGGAAGGATCGCTGGAGCCCAGCAGGTCAAGGATGCGGTGGCCAGGAGCATGCCATTGCACTCCAGCCTGGGTGACGGAGTGAGACTCCAACTCAAATAATAAATAAATAAAATAAAATAAGTAGATAGGCCAGACACAGTGGCTCTCACCTGTAATCCCAGCACTTTGGGAGGCTAAAACAAGAGGATTGCCTGAGTCCAGGGGGTCGAGACCAGTCTGGGCAACTTGGCGAGACCTCATCTCTACAATAAATTAAAAAATTCACTGGGTGTGGTGGCGCGTGCCTATAGTTCCAACTACTCAAAAGACTGAGGTGGAAGGATCACCTGAGCCCAGAAGGTCAAGGCTGCAGTGGCCATGAGCGTGCCACTGCACTCTAACCTGGGTGACAGTGTGAGACTTCAACTCAAAAATAAACAAATACATCAATAAATAAATAATTTCCAAAATTGTTAGATGAGGTGGGATCTATCACCGTGGGGACTGTGTAGTGATCTGAGAGGCAGCTTGCCATGCTACCTGGAGTATTTACATACTTTTCTTTTTTTCAGGAGTTTTAAGCAATTGATGACCAGTTGCAAGTTGACCTGAAGGTGATCAGTTTTGAAGGTAGAGCTGAACATTATTTCACCACAAGACACAGCAGCTCACAAATCACCTTTCTGAGTAAGTTCCCTAGAGAAAAAGAAAGTTAATAGTATTATGAGAGGCTCTCATTTTTCCGCACCCATTTCATTCATTTAACAAGCCCCATGTAAGGGATTCCTGGCTACTCAGCAATGGTCTGAATGTACTTGCTACTCTGTGGACAAATTCCCCAAAATATGACTCCTGCAATTTAAATAAGGGCTAGGGTTCCTTCAACTGTCAGTGTTTTAACTGCAACCTTTGAGCGTTCTGCAGGAAGTTTCTGACAAAAAATGAAAGTCATTGGCAAGTGTCTTGAGGAAGTATACAATAGATGGAAATCCCCCTCCCCAAAGGACATATTAGCAACTTAAGGAGAAATTATAAGACTTCCTTCTAAATAAAATATTAAAGAATTTTCAAGGGAAATCCCCTTTGGAGTCTGGAGAGGTCATATAATATTAAAAGCATGTGGGAGCAGGGCGCGGTGGCTCAGCCTGTAATCCCGTGCTTTGGGAGACTGAGGTGAGTGGATTGCTTGAGCCTGAGGGTTCGAGACCTGCCCGGGAAACTTGGCGAGACTTCATCTCTACAATAAATAAAAAAAAAATTAGCCGGGTGTGGTAGCACGCGCCTGTAGTTCCAGCTACTTGGAAGGCTGAGATGGAAGGATCGCCAGAGCCCAGCAGGTCGAGGCTGCGGTGGCTGGGAGCGGTCACTGCACTCCAGTCTGGGCAACAGAGTGAGACTCCAACTCAAAACAAAACAAAACAAAAAGCATGTGGGAATGAGGACATGTAATTGTTCAGAGAAGTAGATAAAACAGAAACTTGAAAATTGTCTGTCTCTACATTTGGACATCCAGAAAAAAAAATTTTTTTTTTTAGTCAGTGTCTCACTCTGGTGCCCAGGCTAGAGTGCAGTGGCACAATCAAGGCTCACGGAAGCCTCCAACTCCTGGGCTCAAGATGATTCCTTAGCCTCAGCCTCCTGAGTAGCTGGGACTACAAGTGTGTGTTATCACACCTGGCTAATTTTTAGAAAAGTTTTTGAAAAGTAATATAATTCCAGGCACCAGCATGTTTCTTAGAAAGCTAAATCCACAAACTATTTCTGTTATTATATGGAATTAGTTGTGTTATTATTATGGAATTAGTTGTGTTTCTGCCATTGATACCCAAAGATAAAGTTCCTTTCCCAAAAATGGCATCTTGACATGTTGAAGCATACAAGCAGGAAGACATGATAGTATGAAAAAAAACCAGGATGGGCACAGTGGCTCACACCTATAATCCCAGCCCTTTGGGAGGCTGAGGTGAGAGGATTGCCTGAGACCACAGGTTAGAGACCAGCCTTGACAATTTGGTGAGACCTCATCTCTACAATAAATCAAAAAAAGAGCCAGTCACGGTGGTGCATGCCTGTGGTTCCAGCTACTTGGAAGGGTGAGGAGGAAGGATCCCCTGAGCCCAGTAGGTTGAGGCTGCAGTGGCCGTCAGTATGCCACTGCACTCCAGCCTGGGCGATAGAGTAAGACTTCAACTCAAAAAAAAAAAAAAAAAAAGGAAAGAAAGAAAAAAGCCATGTATTCCTCTTATTATGACATGCATGACTTCCCAAATTGCCAGTGCTTCTCTCTGGTTTGATTCCTAACACCAAAAAGAATTGGGATAGTTTTCGAGTTTCCTTTGCCTGTACTACATACAGGACTAGAAAACATAGAGAGCTGGTGACACAGAGAGCTGGTTTGAAACTCCTGTCTGCTCAGGAAGAAGAATAACCAGCATAACAGGGTTTTATACTTGTTGTTTTCCTTCCCACAGAGTAGATCAAGCTCTCCCATCACAAAAATTCAATCAACACACAACAAAGGAATTCAATAGGAATCTAGGCAAAGAGCAGTGGACAAATAGCTTGAAGTTTAACTTTTCAGTCACCATATGTCCCAAATATTTGTTTTAATCCCCCTTTACTTCATCAGCTCTTAAAACTCAGTGGAAATTAAAAAAAAAAAATTCAGTGAAAGAAAATGAACTTTAAAATGAGAGAGATTTACAAATAGTTAACAAATAGGCAAAATATATAACAGTAGAAATGAGGAAAAGGGAGTAAAAGAATTAGCAAGGAAAATCTCCCAGTTTGGGATAAACTGGGATATCTTTGTGAAGTTTTATTCCATGCCTATTTATTAAAACAATTACATGCCTAAGAGTCTGGGTTTACTTAATATAAATAAGTTAAACAGGGAATTATCCAGATTCCAGAGACTAATACAGATTTTTTAATAAATGAGGTATCTTTTGGTTCTTTTTCTGCCACACATCTAAAAACCATATTAGTTTACTTATCACTAGTATTCCTATCAAACTGTTACTGCAGAGTTTCCTGCCATCAAGATGTACAACCAAAGAAATGAGAATTGCTTGGAGTTCTGGAATAGGACACAGCAGAGATATGACCCACTCTTTTAGGACTGTAGCACCAAACCAGGAAATGACCTGTGTTTCACCAGTCAGAACTTCCTGTTCATTAAATAGACACACCTTTGTATCACGTCATTTTGTTAATGGTTGGTGGCCAAAAGACTTGTTTTGCTCCAGTTTACTTGTGTCTGCTCTTTTAACTTTGTACAAAAGACCTAGCTCTCTGAATGTATATCACTATCTTCGAGAAACTGACTATCCTTGAATATATCTGAATGCTCCGTGGATCTTTACCTTGGCAGATTTATTTATTTATTTATTTATTTATTTATTTATTTATTTATATATTTATTGAGTTGGAGTCTCACTCTGTCACCCAGGCTGGAGTGCAGTGGAACGATCACGGCCACCGCAGCCTTGACCTGCTGGACTCAGGCAATCCTTCTGCCTCAGCCTTCCAAGTAGCGGGAACCACAGGCATGCGCTACCAAGCCCGACTAATTTTTTGATTTATTGCAGAGATGAGGTCTCGCCAAGTTGCCTAGGCTGGTCTCAAACCCATGGGCTCAGGCAATCCTCTCATCTCAGCCTCCCAAAGTACTGGGATTATAGGTGTGCACCACCACACCAGGTAGTATTTTTTATTTATTTTTTTATCTCTCTGAGTTGGAGTCTCACTTTGTCATCCAGGCTGGAGTACAGTGGGATGCTCATGGCCACTGCAGCCTCAAACTGCTTTGCCCAGGCAATCATTCCAGGTAGTTGTGACTACAGGCGAGCACCACCACGCCCTGCTAACTTTTTAATTTATTGTAGAGACAAGGTCTTGCCATGTTGCCTTAATTGGTCTCAAACCCCTGGGCTCAGGCAATCCTTTCGCCTTGGCATCCCAAAGTGCTGGGATTACAGTACTTAATTTTTTGATTTATTGAGCCACCATGCCAGCCTATCTTGGCAGTTTTAATGTTGGTTTATTAAGGTGAGCAATGAACTAGAAACCAGAATGCCAGTTAATGCTAAAACTGATGCACTGAGTGACCACAAGATTTCTTTCTCCCCTAAACTGAGAGAGAGACTGTAAAGAATATTAATATTCATGAGGTGAAGTCCTCTGATGATTTAGATGACAACATTAACTTCACTATGTCTTTCTCACTTTTGTGGGGTGTGTGTGTGTGTGTGTGTGTTGGTGCTTAATTTTGATGATCCTTTGTGCCTATCCAGGTGAGAAAATATCAAAATTGAAGTCTCAGGATTTCCTGGAAAGAATCTTTTTGTTTTTTCTTTTCTTTTTTTTTTTAGTCGGAGTCTCACTCTGTCGCCCAGACTGGAGTG